TTTTTTTTCTTTAGTGAAAAGAAGCGTAAGATTAGGGATTTGATCTCAAATCTACAAGAAATCCTCTCTTGTAAAGCAAAGAATAATAACCTAAGACTCAAGATGTGTGGTAGATATAAGTCTTTATAGTTCTTATAATTGTAATAATTTGGAACTGCACATCCTTAATTTTTTATCTTTTTCTAAAATTAGGAAAGATCCACAATAATTAATTAACTTGAAGATTGGGAAACTCGATTTAGACGTCCATGTAAAAAAAGGACAAAATGGGAAAAAATAAGGAAGAAAAATATAGTATCCCAAGGAAATATTCATGGGAAAACTATGACTAATGGGATACGCGTACTTCTTAATTTGTCAATATGAACTTAACTTTGATTAGCTTTTCTTTTTCCTCTAGAAAACTTATTTTATTTTTGGATTAAGCCTTCAAAGAAAAATTAATTGCAATTTGAGATCATATCTTTCAATGAATAGACCGTGTCGCATACTACCAAACGAAAATCTATTAAAAAATTACAAGTGGGGACGGCAAAGTGTGGTCATCAGTGAATGACCCTAGGTAGCTTCTAATAAAAAAATTTTCATTAATTAATTTCATAAAGCTACTATATATGTCTCCAACAATTTTTAGACTTATTAGCCTTTTTTGGCCTAGGATTATTTAGTTTTTTATAAATCTATTGTGAAGTAATAGAGAAGATTGATCGTAACAATTGTTGGACATATTATAAAGCTGACTATATCTGACATAATTGAAGAATTAATTAATTTTTTGTATGAAATGTCTCCTCATCTCTACCAGCATTTACCTTAACGATAACATCTTAAGATAAACTTAATTTATTGTCTATTTTTACTCGTTCTTTATATTACTTTAAATCTCATAATTAGAATTTAATCTGATACGATTTAATTTATTATAAATCTATTGTGAAGTAATAGAGAAGATTGATCACAACAATTTTTGGACATTATAAAGCCAATTATATTTGACATAATTTAAGAATTAATTAATTTTTTGTATGAAATGTCTCCTCATCTCTACCAGCATTTATCTTAACGATAACATGTTAAGATAAAACTTAATTTATCGTCTATTTTTACTCGTTTTTTATATTACTTTAAATCACAATAATTATAATTTAATCTGATACGATTTAATTTATTTTAATCCCAGAGATTTAAGTTAACAAGAAATTATTCAATTATTATATTTAAACTCTAAATACGTTTTAATCTTCTTAAGAAAATAAACGTTTAGGTCAAGTTTGAATTATTATTTTTGCTAAAATTTAAAATAATGTTGTAAAGAAACTTTTTTTTAATTCTCCTTTTTGTTGTCTTTTGTTTGTTTTTCATTAAACGTGAAATAATGTCTCTGCCAATTCGGATAGTGTTAGAATCCAAGATCTTTGCATGATTTTAAGGAAACCTTTGAACAAATATGTCTAGTAATAATTTGTTCTAGGTTTTTCCTTACCATGCTAGCCAATATACGGGGCTCTAAATTTTTTTTTTTAATTTTTTTTTCAAGTATCCATATCAAACACTTGCTTGAGAGGTCAAAGTGGACACCAAAATGAGGTCTGTTGACCTCTAAATGAAACCGAATACTTAAAGAGAGAAAAACAAATATAGACCTGTCCAACGCATTCGTCGGAAACATGCCTTCGTATAACACCTAGTATTGAGTCCAAACAACACGGATGTTAAGAAGGAATCACAAACAGGAAGCTTAGACACTGCAACTTGACCAAACAATTGGGCAGCATTTTGGATTTCTAGAATTTGGGTTCTGGTCTTTGTCTTTTAGCAACCCTAGCGCCTGTTCCACATGTAAACTATCCTTTGAAGCCAATGAAAACGATCCCAATGCCAGCAAGTGCAAGGAAATAGCCAATGCTTTGAAACCTCAACTTGTGGCTGTCGTTTTCGATACTATACATAGTTTGATGCATTTATTAACTTTCACACAACCAGGTCGAGATTTCTAGGCCGAATACAGTTGGACTACTCACACTGACGCAGACTATGAAATATATAGTAAATAAACTAGCGATATTTTTTAATACGAGTATTCAAACAATTTTCACCTCGAAATGAATCTCGGATCGTTTGACTTGTAATTTTCTGCAATGGCCGATGGATGTCTCAAGATGTAATGCAAACAAGCATCACACTAGTGTTTTCCATGGACACCAAACCGTTAACACTGAGATGGTTAGATAGTGATACTCTTTGGGCGTATAAACATTTCAAAGCATACTACCAAATTATTTGAGATAAGAGTCAATAATGTATTAATAATATTTTTAATAATTTATTTTATGGGTAGGTAGGAAGAAGGGAATTAAAGCATATGATAACAAAGGAATTGGAAAATGAGAATAGAGTAAACAATTTCTTTGTTCTGTCTCCCACCACTTAAATGGTTTCTTAGACTTCGCGTAAGACGATATATGGGATCGAACCAACCGATCATACCTCACCTCACCTCAGTTGACTCATGGTAGTGAAAGTCATATGAAATAATTACGTTTGGTGTGTAGTCACTTGAAGCTTGCAACTGAAGCAATTGACTGGTTCAAATCGTATTGGTTCTCCCCTAGTCCTTCTTTCAAAGAAATTTTTATAATTGACGAATGTACATTATTTAGTAATTATGTTATTTTTTCTGTATATAGTTAAATGATATCGTGGAATAGCATTTAAATATTGCCCTTTTGATTGTCTCACGTCCTGCCCCGTCTTGCCCAACAGCTGACCCTATACCAATGGTAGCATCCAAAGCGCTAAAGGAAGAGGGAAAGGATCTGTAGGATGAACAATTTTTTCAGTCTTACTTTTTTATAAATGTATTTAGGAAACTTTATTGTGTTAATTTGATTTTTATTCAAGGTATAATGTGGAAGAAGGGGATTTTATCAATCCAACTTTTTCAGTTGAAAAATACATGGACCAACTTAAGTTCAAATCGCAAAGGAAATTTGTAATAATTTTATTTTGCCTCAACTTAAATGACAATTATAGATCATAAATTCAAATCTCGTTCTATCTTATCTTTGTTAAATGCATTGTGAAGCACAGCTGCATTCCCGTTCAGCATATTAATTAAAAGGATTTTTCATTTTATACCATGAAAATAAAAGATTCAAATTTTTAAACAAATGAAACTTTGAGTAAGAGATGGTCACTAATAAGGGTGTAATTGCGCCAAGACATGCTAAGCTTGAGCTTGGTGGAGTTTTAATTTTTTTGTGTTCAACCTTGACTTCAAAAGAATCTAGGAATTCGAGTTTGATTAAATTAGGCTTGATTAGCGTTAATTCATAAAAGAAGTTCGAAACTCAACTCAATCTTAAAATAAAAATACAAACAAAATTTTGAAATATGTAAATAAAAATTAAATTTTATTTATATAAGTATATAATATTAAAATATGCAAAGACTTAATAAGATTGGTGAGAGTCACTCGAGTCGAGTATAACTCAAACTCGATCTCAACTTGATAATGAACGAATCAAATTCGAATAGGACGAACATCTTAATACATTTATATCCCCTAGTTATTGGTTCGTGGGTCCCCTAAGACTTATCCATAAATATACAGAAGCAGTCATCCTCTCAATTAAGTATTATTGTAATAAAAAACCTCTAGCACTTTATATTCTTCTAACTAAGAAATGACATACCTTACGTATATAATTATTTGACTTCTTATCAATGTACTCCACAAATCTATTTCATATATTATCAAATAATCAATATATTAATAAAAAAATCAACATACAATAATTCGTTTTTAGTGTTATACATAATTTACTACTATTATTTTTATACATATAATCTTTTATATTACACAATAAAAAGAACTTTCCTAAGTTATTCTGTGCCTATTCTAATAAACATCTAAACTTGGTCACTTTAAATTAAAATATTTAAATTTTACCTATTGAAATATGAGGGCATATATTATTACTTAAGATAAAATACTATTAGTTCTTAAGTTTTGATCGAAATTACACGAAGATTTTTTAATTTTTAAAATATACACTCTATTTTCAAAAAATATTTTTTACTGAACATTTTAATAGAGCCGTCAGTCAATTTTTAGTGCTTACATCAACTTACTAATATAATAAAAATAAAATAATAATGTTATCTATAATTAATTTTTATAATTACTATTATATGATTTTATTAATTAAAAAAAAAACTCCCCATGTGAGAGCACTGGAGCTCCTTTAGGGAGCCCTAATCAAACTCTCTAAGGGAGCATCAGTGCTTCCCTTTTTTGGTGAGTTGGGGAACACTGATAGGTGCTTTTTTATTTTTTATTTATTTTTATATATTTTTTAAAAAATAATTTTTAAAATATTAAAAAAGATATTTAATTTTTTTATAATTTTTGTTAATAATATCTGTATTTTTGAGATAAAATATTTACTTTAAAAATTAACATATTTTTTTATAATTTTAATTAAAATTTAAAAATTAAAACTATTTTACCCTATCGCTTATCATGGAATAGGCAACTCAAAAATTTAATGCCACGAGTTCTTGCAGGGGCGTCAAAAAGATTCAGCCGCCACCAAGATAGCCTCACAGTCAGTTAAGAACGCGCCAGGTTTCGTTTTCAAGCGGCCCGGTCAAAATTGATGTCCTAACCCTAAGCCTCGTAATCAATCATCGTACCATGTTACCAGAAGCCCCGACCCGACCTAATTACCCGGCTGCAAGTTCTTTAAATCTTCCCCACAAGCACGAGTCAAACAATGTCTCATTTTTCGTTTTTCTAATTTTTAATGTCCTCCTTAATTAATCCCGCGGATAGATGGAAAACTTCCACACATAGCGCGTGATTAGTTGCCATGTTATAATAAAACCAAAGATTGTTTTCTCTGTCCTTTCAATAATAATTTTTTATTTATTATCTAATTTAATATAACACTGCTTTTTAAGTTTTGGCTTCGTCTCCTATATAAATACCAGGCATTGTGGTTAGGCCCTCACATCATAAATTGGTAGCTGGCAGAGAGGTCCCCCCACTTCACCAGTATACAAAAACCATACCAAAGAAAGAGAGTTGTCCTAAAATTTCTGCCAAGGATTGTGATCAGAGATGGAGGATTTGATGGGATTATTGAGAATTCATGTGCAGAGAGGGGTGAATCTTGCTGTGAGAGATGTTGTAAGCAGTGACCCTTATGTTGTTGTCCGGATGGGAAGACAGGTAATTAAGCAATTTTTTTTTTACTTTTTCAGTTTTTTAGTTTATCGGTTTCTGAGTTTCACTTGTTTTTTGGAGCATTTTAGGTTATGGGTTTTGTCTGTTGTTGATGGATTTGGTCCCTTGTTTTTTGAGAGTTTCAGTTCAGTCAGCAGTCGGCAACAAAACTGACATCCTTTTGTTCTGTGTTAGAACTTTGAAAGACAGAATTTTTCAACAAGAGAAGATAAATATTACATAAATTCTTGGTTTTGTTTTTGGTTTCAACTGTCTTGGTCGGTTTGGTCTTTGGAGTTTCAGATTAGCCAGATACACAATTATTGCCATCATTTTGTTCTGTGTTAGAACGACAATCGATTCTTGCTTCTGTTTTTGGTTTCAAATGTTTCCTGTCCAGCGTTTTTAAATACCTTTCTTGAAATTGTTAACTTGTTCCTCTTCTTTTCTCTACAACTTTCTCCTAAAACAGTGAATAAACATCTAGACCGGATCGGCAAGCCTCTTAACTCAAAACTAAATTCCTAGACTAGATGGTATTCTTCACCAAGGTTCCTGATTTATAAGACTATCTTTTCCCATGGATATCAAAGCTTCGATTAACAGTAACCTGGAAAAAAGGGTGTCTAGATTTCGCTCTTTCGGCACAGCTTTTCAAACTGGTTGTGCGTCTATTTCATGCTTTGTGCAACCACTTAATGCGAGTCAAAATCGACTGCCTGTTCACTTTAGGTCCCCCATGTCCAGAAAGACACATAATTTGTCAATCCATCTATCCCATTTAAGCTTTCAAGATATTGAACTCTTTGGGAATTCAATCTGTGCAGAAATTAAAGACTCGTGTCGTAAAGAAGAGTGTCAATCCAGAGTGGAATGATGATTTAACTCTCTCTGTTGCAGACCCAAGTCTTCCAGTTAAGCTTGTAAGTTTTTTATCCATTGAAGGTTTTGTCCTATGAATTTTTTTTGTGATTGAAAGATTCTAGCGTACCAGACCTTTTTCCAAGACTAACTTCTGATGAGACGAATTACTTTCAAACGTAATGGCAGGCAGTATTTGATAAAGACATATTCAGTTTGGATGATAAAATGGGGGATGCAGAATTTGAAATTGGTCCATTTATAGAAGCTGTAAAGATGCGCTTGGAAGGTCTTCCGAGTGGAACTGTAATCAGGAAAATACAGCCGAGCAGGCAAAACTGTCTATCCGAAGAGAGTTGCATTATTTGGAGCAATGGCAAAGTTGTTCAAAACATGTTCTTGAGGCTGAGAAATGTCGAGTGTGGTGAAGTTGAGCTTCAACTGGAATGGATCCATGTTCCTGGTTCCCGAGGACTTTAAATAATTACTTGATTAATTTCTGTTGTTTTATATTTTCTTCCTTGTGCAAAGCCTAAGCCAGTGTGCATGGTAGATTTTGAGAGTGTCATAACGTTTATATTTTCTTCCTTGTGCAAAGCCTAAGCCAGTGTACATGGTAGACTTTGATTATTGTTTTGCTTAGCATTCAAGTAGGGTGGCAGTGTAGTTAATTAGGAACAACAGAACTGAGGTCTTAACTGAGAAAAGGAAAAAGCCAAAAGAAAAAAAATTCATGTTAACAGCAGAATAATGTTACAGTTAGAACAAGTAGTCACTACAAGAAAGTTTTAAAGTGTAGTAGAATTCCACGTACGAGCATTTCATTAGAACTAATTTTATTATTAAATTTATTTTAAATCGTATTTAAAATTTAATATAAAATATTTGATTTAATAATAAGTATGGGTTTACACTTCGAATCCCCTTTAGCCATCAAAAATAAATTTTGAATCTATAGTCACAGAAGTTAGTGTTTTTATTCTACTAGGAATTGTTTGATTTAGCAAACATGGCATTTAAGTCTTGCCAAGGTCAAGAGGTCTCGTATGTCGGGGCACTAGCTAATTTTTGTTAGGGGATCAAATATAGAAGAATAATAGTTAAAAATTTTTAAAATTAATATATAAAATTTAATTAATAATAAAAAATTTGATAATGGAAATATAAGATTATAATGTTTAAAATATAAATAATTAAATATGGTATATAAGATTAATAATTTTTTTATATAATTATAATTATTTAAAAATTAAATAATTTTATTTTAATTAAATATAAAACGTAAAGCACATCAAAAAATATATTCAAGTTAATTTTTTTTACATAATCAGGATTAATAAAAAAAATACATTGATGAAATTTTAAATAATAATATAACACTATAATTGATATTTGAAAATTACATAATAATTTGTTAATTTTTAAAAATTAAAATCATAAAAAATAAAATCTATGAATAGAAAAAAGAAGAACATGATAAGTAAAAGATAAATACCACATATGACATAACAAAAAAAATATAATAGATGGTTTGTAGAAATTTGAAAAAAAAAAGTTATAAAAATTTAAAATTAAATGAAGAATATGAAATCATTTTATTATTTTTTATTTATATTAATTATTATATAAAAAATTATTTTGAAAAGATCATTAAGAGAATATATAAAAAAATTTATATATTATCAAAAAAACTTTAAAAATTTTAGAGAGACGAAACCCCGTAAATTAAGGAGAGGAGGCTCCGCCCCTGCTTGTTTCGTCTGGTTTGCTAGTTTATCGGCTATTGACTATGGGGTGAATGAAAATGAAAGAAAGGATGGGTCTCAAGGAGGTGGGACATAGTAGGAAATTGAAACATTGATTGAATTGGGCTAAGGCCCCGTTGCCACTTTATGAACTTTGCTTTGCTCTGATTTGTGGACAAAGTCGATTATAAGGAAGCGGTAAAGATGGTTTGAAGACTTATTCGCTTGGGGTCCATATCACTTGGTTTTAAGCACGCCACTGCGGATGTGACATCAAATCTTGTGGTTCGCATGGATTCAAAGACCCTGGATTACACCTGCAAACCAAAGTGAGGGTTGCTAGCACGGACTTTGGTTAACCTCCCTCTAAATGGCATTTCCAATCTCAAATCATTTTGGATTCTAGGTCGAATGGACCTAGATGAATTTTTTCTCCCTTTCGATGAAAAATTTACTTGACGAAACTTCTTTCGTGTTCTAAACGAATTTGCAACAGTCATATAATAATTTCTTTGTTCTCATTTAATTACTCGTTTTAAAACCTTTAAGAATGAAAAAAGATTCATTTTTTGTTTTGTTTTCTGATTTATAGAAAAATTGACTTCCTTGGTTGGAAAAATTTTGTAGGTAAGTTTGTTATATAAAGATAGAGAGATATAAGAATCTTATTGAAAAGGTCTATGTAAAGGAGCTTCTTCTAATAAAATATTCTAATAAAAGAGAACGCGCTGCAAACAAGTAAAAGATGTATCAGAGGTGGTAGAGAGAAAGATTGGAGTAGTTCCTGTAGTACTGAGTGTCGTGGTAGGTGAAAGAAAACAAGAAGAGAATAAGTGTTCTGAGTGAAAATAGGCTAGAGAGACAAGCTTTGAATGAGAGTTACCTAGTTTTGAAAGTCCAAAGTCCCTCACTTGAATTGTGAAGGTTCTATATGTAGTGCCAAAAGCAACGATTATAAGAAGAGGTTTTAATACACGTAATAAATAATATTATTATGAAGAGTTTTAATGTTAGGTAACCGTTACTAAGAGTTAATGTCGAGTAACGGCTAAAAACTTATTATGTGACTGTTGAAGTAATTATATGTAATAAGACTTGTTCTCGAGTAAAAAGTAATAGAAAAGAGATATACGTGAAAAGATACAAGAGAATAAGCTGTACATGAACAAGTACAAGATAAGAGGCTATATAAGAATAGATATAAGAGAAAAAGTTATACATAAATAGGTACAAGAGAAGAAGGTGTATGTGAACAAGTATACAAGAACAATGTAGGAGGGTAAAACACTTATACTTCAGAAAAAGGCTAAAAGAAAGACTTTTCAACTACCTCAATATCTGAGTCACCAAACCAAACTCTCCGAAACATCTCAATATGAAAGTAACCCATGAATCTTACTACTTATTCCGAATTGATTACCTTCAATGTCATTTATATGAAGTTGTTATTCTGCACAAAGTAGTTGTTCTGCTTGTATTAATTGTTTTCACATGAAATAATGCTTCACTTATTCTAGTTGTTCTATGTGAAATAGTAATTCACTTTTTTTAATTGTTTTGCGTGAAATAGTAATTTACTTATAATGGTTGTTCTTATTATTTTTTATATAATGTTATGCAATAAAATATTTTTTTTTGAATAGCTATTAATCAAAATCGACTATCTACAGTTTATATGTTACAACCTAAAAAATTTAAAAAGAATAATAAAGATCATCTTGTGTATAGATCTAAAAGTCTATGTATGGGTTTAAACAAGTTGCTCACTAGTGATATCTTAAAATTGATGAAGTAATAACCTCTTTTAATTTTGTTGAGAATAAGGTTGACTAATGCATAGATCTCAAGATTAGTGAGAGCAAGTTTATCTTTCTTATTATGTATGTTATTAATATCTTACTTGCTAGTTGTTTCTAAGGAATTTAATATGAAATATCTTGGGAAAGCATCCTATGTCCTCAAGATTGAAATTCATAAAGATATATCTCATCACTTGTCGAGACTTTCTCAAAATGCATATGTTAATCTAGTATTGAATATATTTTATATGATTGATTGTAAAAGTGGAGATATGCCAATTGTTAAAGGTGATAAATTGAACTTGGCATAATATCTTAAAATGACGTTGAGAAGGAATATATGAAAGAAATGCCATATGTTAGTGCAATAAGGAACTTAATGTATGCTTAGGTATGCATGAGGCTTGACATTGCTTATGCAGTGGGTTTTTTGAGAAGATATTTATCTAATTCTAATATAGATCATAAGGATTTTAAAAAGAATGTGATGAGATACTTGATTAGGACTAAAGATTATATATTAGTTTATCAAAAGGTTGAAGACCTTAAGTTAGAAGGTCATATAGATTCTAACTTAACTAGCTATTCAGATAATAGGAATTCCACATCAAGATATATATTTATGTTGGTAGGTGGTGTACAATCTTAGAAAAGTATAAAGAAAGACACTTGTGACCTTGTTCATTATGCAAGTAGAATTTGTAACATACTATGGAGTAGCTACACAAGCTTTCTAATTAAGAAATCTTATTAAAGAATTCTTGTTGGTTAGCTTTATTACTAGACCTATACAATTATATTGTGATAACACTGCAGTGGTTTTGTTTACTAATAATAATAAAAGTATCACAAAGACTAAGTTTATAGAGATAAAATATTTGACAGTTAAAAAATTTATAGAAAATGGTGACATTTTAGTAAAGTATATTTATACTGATGATATGCTAGTTGATCTTTTAACCCAGGGATTGTGCCCTGTCAATATCAAAAAACATATTTTGACATGAGCATTGAGGAGTTTTTGATTTACTTGGTTAGTGGGAGGATTTGATATTGATTTATGCTTTATGCACAATTTTTTGGAACACATCTTTAATTATGTATATAGATTTATTATAAATAATGATTATTTAATGATATTCAATCGTAAAGATTTTATGTACGTATATACGTATTTGCATATATAAAGACTTGAGACATGTGTCAGTCTTAAACATGGGTTGGGGCATAAATTTACAACCTTAGGAGCATGTTTTTGACACATAAAACATATCTCGAGATATGTAAGGCAAAAATACAGGTTTACTAAATAAACCATAAAGTATTTCTCTTGCAAGCATGGGCTGCATAAAGTAGAGAATAAAATGACTAATCAAGGAATGCAAAGCATGAAATGGATTATCAAGAAAGTGTTGTTAATCAATACTACATTACCACATTGAGTTCATGTGGATAAGATTGAGTGGTATATATGATTATAATTGGTGTTATATCTTTCTAGACGTAGTTAGTGTTATTTTTTTATATTGCAAAATTTTATCAGACAGAACGGTACTTGGAGTAGTCTCAAGATCGATTTGTTTTCAAAATTGGGCCCATAAAGTTCTTTGTTGTCTTCGCATGTGAGTCAATTTCAAGAAATTTGCCTTTTAAAATTTAAATTTAAATAATGTAGTCCAAGGACATTATTTAATTTTGTATTTTGTTAAAATTAGGCTAAGATAATATGATCTCGATAATGGACAATATTACAGTCCATAATATGATTTAATAAAGTCGGTTAGACTCCAATGTTATATGTGAGCTTAAAAGTGTAAGCCTGTGTAGGAAACCCTAAATCTTATGATGTGTGAAACTAAAGATTCACTGTATAAAGGTAAGATTAGGTCCTCTCTCTTGTTGACAATGACATAAAGATCTCACCTATTGGAGAGTTATAAAGAAAAAGAAAAAAAGATCTTGGTGCATTGAGTACCAACAGTTAATCTGGTCAGTATCATTTTCGTTATTAAACTGTGGATGTGGATCAAAAATCAAATGCGTTCTGTGTTTTAAATTTCTACTATATTAGATCTTTGATTAGTAT